GTAAGAAAGGGGCATGATGTTTCTGAAAATAATGACATGTTCACTGCAAACCATTCTTTGTACAAGTAAATACAAAGAAGAAAATAAAACCAAGTGAAATTACAATGCCCAGAGATGATGGTCACTGCTGTTGCAGGGATGGTCCCGACTGCCCCCAGGGCCAATGGATTTACATCTGACCTGAGGAGACTCCTGCTACACAGGCTGTTCTGGAGCTTTCCCCACTCCACCACGCTTACTCTGTTGAGCACCTTTCAACATGATGGACGGTGTTAGATATAAAACCCTCACTCCCTACCCTGACCTCACCCCACTCACCTCTCAGATCTTAACTCCTTCGTGTCTTCCAGCCTACATGACTCAAATACAGCAAGCTCATTCTCAGCTCCTAGCCATCACCCTTGCTTTTCCCTCTGCCCGGAACATTCTTCCTCTGGATCTTTCCATGACAGTTTGCTTCTTGTCATTCAGGTCTCAGTGCCAATATCACAGGCCTCAAAGAGGCCTTCCCTGGCCACCCTGACCAATGTAGCCCCTCAGCGCATCACTCCAAACCATACCACCCTACTTTGTTTCCTTCACGGCTCTTCTCTCTCTCTGAAATCATTTTATTTCTATGTTAACTCATTTCTTGTCTGTCTCCTTTGGCTAAAGTGTAAACTGCTTCAGAGCAGGGACCAGAATGATGCCAGGCACATAGTAGGTGCTCAATCCATGCCCACTGTCCACTTTTGGTGGCCATGGAGAATCTCAGAGAACAAGTGAGCCTCCCTCAGTCCTCTGTCTCCCACTAATGGACTGTGTCATCACTTTATCCCTGATTAAACAAACCAGTTAGCACCATCTTTAAGGACAGATTTTTTCCTGCTTGAACAACTATTTCTTTGGGATAAATTTCATGAAGTGGAATGGCAGGGTGAAAGGGAGATTTGCATTTGACATCCTGATACATACTGAAAAAGCTACTCTTAAACACGCAAACCAATTCCCACTCTCCTGAGAGTGTCCACCTTTATATCATATTCATCACCACCAATCTCAGAGGCCCCCAAAAAAGTGTCTCATCAGTTACATTTGCATTGTGTTATTAATGAGATGGAGCACCTCTTCAAATTGCAACTTGAATGAGGAAATGCATGAGTACAGTTAAGACATCAGAAAGGAGAAGTGGCTCTAGGAACCATAAGGTGACAGTGGTAAAGCCAGGACTTGAACATGGGGCAGCATCCCCGGCCCTTGTCCATTGGCACTCACGATGGGAAGTAGGGTCCAGGTGGGGCTGGAGGGGTGTGGAGGTTGGTGGCCGGTACAGGCATACCCATGAGCCCCATGCTCACTTCCTCTTGAGCCTGCCTCTGCCCCCACCACACACTGAAGTCCTCTAACAGGCCATGACACTTTTGGCCCTCCCTCACTTACCTCTTGGGGACCTGGTTGACCACTGTCCTCTCCAGTGCTGTCTTCAGTCCAGACCCCTTGTTCCTCTATCTGCATATCCAGCTGCCTTCTGAACACCCGAAGGGTCAGATCCATGCTCCTCAGCCAGTTCACAAGGCGCCTCTGACTGGCCCCTTCCCCAACAAATGTACACACAATTGTCTAGCCACACTAAGTTTTTGCTCTCTCCAGCAAGTGAGGCTGCTCCTCTCTCCCATGCCTTAAACTCTGCTGCTCTCCCTGACCCAGAAGATCCTCCAAGGACCTACTCTCTGCCTGCCTAGTGAGCCCCAACAACTTGCCATGCTAAGGGTTCCATCCCTGCAAAGCCCTTCCTAACCAGCACATACTCTCTCTCCCTCTCTCACATGCACACCCAATAAATGTGCACACAGACACAATCACACACACTCACATATACATACACTTTCAGAATTGGTGAAACAAGAGGTGTGGAGACATGAGACATCTGTTCCAATCAACTGTGAGCCCCCAAGGGCAACGACTGGGGTTGCCTCACCTCTGGTCCCCCCGGGGAAGGCCAGGTATACAGCAGACATTCCAAGAATGAATGAATGAATGAACGATGTGGCCACAGGCAGAGTAAGGGCCAGGCTTCTGTTCTGTCTCTTCACAGAAAGCTGAGGGGGAGTTGCATACCAGAGAGCTGTAACCAATGTGTGCTTTGGGATGGGTGAGGAAGGCTCTGGTTTTTCTGGGTTTGGGGACTTGAACTGCATTACTGCCAAAAGTGGAACTAGCAGTGCCATGTATGAGGACCCAGGATTTGCTATGGCTCTCACCACTCTGTCATCTGATAGAGGGATTTTTCTCAGGCCTGAGTCTATCTCCCCAAGAATGTGAACTCCTCAGGGTTAGAAGTCTTGACGATTCCTTGCTACACCCCAGCTTCCAGCCCAGCACTGGGCAGAGGATGTGCTCAGGAGTGATGTCTGACTGAAACAGAACCAAACTGACACAACTCGGGAGGCCAAGGTGGAGCTCAAACTCTGCTCTTCCTAACTACATGACCATGAAAGGTTCCCACCTTCCCTGAGCCTCGGGTGTCTCCTCTGTGAAGGAGGTTTCAGCTGTGTCCTTCCTTTCCCACTCACCAGTTGTTGGGGAGAGACCTGGGAGGCCTCCAGCACTCCATGGTCCTCAGACACTGTCTTTCTCTCAAGGGCCCTGGGCAGGGGGACAGAGTCAAATGAACTCTCAGGTGTTCCACTTGCTCACTGCAACACCATTTGTACCTGGTCCTAGTGGTCACTGGCCTGGCTGCAGACAAGGATAATAGGCAGTGAAAGGTGCCCAGAAGGGTATGTGGGAAACCTGGAGGAAGGAACATTTGAGCTATTTGTCCAAGTGGATAAAGAGGAGGAGCATCCCAAGTAGAAGGGAGGCTGGGAGAAAAGGCAGAGGCTGGAGGGTGGGGACTATGTCCAGGGAGTAGCACGTAGGTTGCTATAGTGGAAGCCAGAGCAGCACAGGCTGTAGAATAGGTGAGAGATAAAGAGGTGAGGTCATCTTAGGCCAGATCTCCTGGGCCTCAGAGGCCCCATCACAGGGTATGAACTTATCCTGAAGGCAATGGAGAACCACTGAAGCCTCTTAAGCAGGGAACAATATGATCTGATTTGTGATTTAAAAGATCACTCACACTGTTGCGCAGAGAACAATTGTAGGGGACAAAGGTATAGGTAGAGAGGCTAGGAGAGATGGTAGCCCAGGCCGAGGTATGAGTTGTGATGGTGGAGGCACATAGACACACACAGGACAGAGTGGCTGACTGACTGTGAAGGGTAAGGGAATCATGCACTAAAAGTGGGAATTTTCTGGAAGTGGAATTCTAGAATTCCAGACTGAGAAGAAGTTCCTCAGACAGTGCCCTGGTGAGCCCCCACCATCAGAGCCCTGAGTAATAGCACTGAGACAGCTCTGTGCCACTGCCACCCCAGGGGCCAGCATGCTGCCCAGCCCTGAGTGCACAGTTGGTGTTTGTTGAATGAATGAATAAAAGAGCACTCGTAGTTAAGAGGTTAAGATATTAAGGAGGTAGAATCAAGAGGACTAGGCAGCTGAATGAAGGTGCGGGGAGGAGACAGGGAGACATCAAAATTCACGTTTTTACTCATTCATTCACTTGCTCATTCAACAAACACTTTTTTTTTTTGCAACTGGCAGGTATGGGGGATCGGAACCCTTGACCTTCATGTTATAACAATGCACTGTAACCAACTGAGCAACCGGCAGCCCCAACAAATATTTCCTGAACTCCCACTAAGGGACTCACCACCAGGGACAGTGATGACAAGGGCTTCTGTGGTCCCTGCTCCCACATTTCATAGAGAGCCATAGTCAGGCAAGCTTAGGCACGTGAGCACGCATGGGCATGCATACTGCCTGGCCGTGGTGAGTGGCATAAAAAGAGTCGACAGGAAGCTGGAACAGATAGTCACAAGAAGAGACTGTCTGCAGAGAAGGTGCTCAGGGCATGCCCTGCTGACAAGGTGACTTTAGAGATAGGCAACAGTCAATTGGTGCCAGTTTTAAGAGCTCCAGAGAGGCCCAGCCCCTGGCTCAGGTGGGGACCTGGGTGGACAGTGGTGCTTTGCAAGAACGAGGACAAAGGAAGAAGAGTATATCGGGGGGTGATCATGAGGACTGGTGAGTCATCCAGAGAGAGCATCCAGGGGCTCTGGGTACAGAGGAAAGCTGGGGAGGTCAGCAGTGGATGGATGGAAGCCCTGAGACTGGATGATACTTTAGGGTGGGGAGAATAAAGAGAAGAGCCCAACCCCTGGAAACAGTGCCCAGGTTTAAGGTCTAGAGAAAGGAGTGCTGCAAAGGAAGGCAAAGAGGAGAGGCTGGAAGGTGGAGTACTGGGAGAGACTGAGGTGTGTCTCTGGCAAGGGCCCCCCCCACTCCCCCATCCCCCGCCAAGGGTGGTCAAGATCAGCTCTCAGGACCTGGGTAGGGGGCAGATATGCAGGGACCTCTTCCAGTCCCTCAAACCACTCCTGGTATATCTTACCTACTTCTCAAGGTGAGGGGTTGCAGGAGTGCAGGGCCTGGAGAAGCTGAAGGGTAGGGGCCCAGGGTGTCTAGGGATGGAGAGCACCAATGGTGTCTTATTGATGGGAGAGTTGGAGAAGTGCAGCTAACTCTTTGACCCTAGCGTGGGGTCAACTCTCAGCTCCACCTTAATCCACTATGGTCATTCCGGCCCCCGCTTTGGAAATGACACTTTGGAAATGAACGAGCTCAGGCCAACACGTGCCCCAAGCCCGGGTACCCAGATCCTGCCAGGATCCCGCCCATGCACCCTATTCCCGCGGACCCCGAGGGCTGAACACCTCCACCGCTCTCGCGTACCCCAGGGTCTCCCCTCCCCGCAAGCTGGTAGACTCCGCTGGCCGTAGACCTTCCCCGTTACCCGGAGGGCGGAGCGAGCCGTGGGCGCCTCCAGGGGTGCTGGAGCGGCTGGAGCGCTGGGGGTGGGGAGGGGCGGGACGGCGGGGCGGAGGGAGGGGCCGGCGGCGGCTGCGACAGCGGCAGCTGCGGCACTGCCAGGCCCGGCAGCTCGGAGCACACGGAGAGCGCGAGGTCCGCGAAGTCCAGCGAAGCCATGTGAGTGTCCGCGCCGTTTCGGTCTAGGATCTGCGGCCCAGGCTGCGGCCCTGTCCCGCCTTACCCCATCCCTGGGACCCCGGCCGCGCAGTGTCTTTCCTCCCCTCCCTCCGGGGGCGGAGGACGCAGCTTCGCCCCACAAAAGCTGCCGCCTCTGGGCCTGCAGCGCCAAGCGCTCCCTCCTTCCCTCCCACGGCAAGGCCTGGCGGCCGTGTCCCGGGGCTCTGGGGTGGGCCAGGCCGGAGGGCGGGCCCAAGGCGCCAGCCAGGGCCCTGGCACTGCGCTCCCCGGGAGTCCCCGCTGCCCTCGCCGCGAGGGAGGCTGAGCTGGAAATGGGGAGGGGGCAACGAGGGAGGGTGCAACGAGGAGGGGTGCAGGCCAGCCTCCGAGCTGAGCTAATCTTCCTAGCCCCACAGGCCGGCCTAAGCCGCTTTGGGGCCGGGCCCGAGGTGACCGAGCCTGGCCTGGGGCAGTGCTGTCTGGCCAAACCTAGCGTAGCGGAAGCCGGAGAGCATAGTCCTGGCGCGTTCGGGGAACAGACCCTGTCCCTGGAAATGGAGGCTCGTGTGGGGTCTCCGCTAGCAGCCAGGCCTGGGCACCCTGAAGAACTGGTTTGGAGAAGGGATGGCTTACCAGGGATAGAGATCGGGCTAAGTCCAGCCTCGGGACTCTGTCCTGCTGACCCCCGGGTGAGGCCTGAGTCCAGCCTCCCGTACTGACCCTTCGCAGCCAGTTCTAATGCATGTCCAGGCTGGCCGGCGGAGCACCTACTGTGTGCAGTCTAACAATAACGGTGCCCTGGCGCCATCTGTGCGGCCGCGCCCTGGGCCTGCCGCATCCAGCCGCAGCACAGCCTTCCGAGGAGGGTTATGACCATCTGGCAGATGCAGGCGCAGAGAGGTTAGTAATATTCTCAAGGTCACACAGCTGGTTTGGGGATAAGCGGGAATTAGATCTGAATCCTTGCCGCTGTACCATCGACCTCCATGGGGGGCGGGGGATGGGATGTAGAATTGGGGACTGAGGTACAGAATACTCCAGCGGGACAAGGAGTACTGGCATAGCTCCCTCTTCCACCCCTCTCCCCGTCCTGAGTCCTGGGGGCAGCAGCCGGAGAGAACAGCCGGGTGAGCCGTCGCAGGAGGCTGGGCTTGGGTGTGGGTGAAGGGAGCCCGTAGGGCGCCGGGCTGGATCCTGCCCAGGTAAAAAAGCAGGCGGGGAGGGCGCGGGTGAGTCACGGCGGTCCCTCTCAGCCGCCGCTCGTACTCGCGCCCTAGCCAGGCCCGGCCCGGCCCGGAGGAGGCCGCTCGGCTCCCAGCGAGCTGCGGGCTGGGGAATGTGACCAGCTGACCAGGGAGGGGGCCGGCAGGAAGTGAGGCCACCCGGCCGCCTCCGCCCGGTTCCGGGGTGGGGGGTCCCAGGCCGCGCCGCCCCGCCCCGCCTCCTTCCTTGCCCGCTCGGCAGCTGGGAGCTGACGTCAGCAGCCGGCTTTGGGGCAGTTACCATGGAGACAGGGGCAGACTCAGGAGGGACCACCTTCTCCCTTGCAGCCGCCCCTTGCCTGGGTTATTTTTAGCGTCTGTTTACCTCGGTCCAGGGCTGCCCTACAGCTGGGTGGGGCTGCACCGGGGGACTCCCGGAGAGGCGGCTGGCCTGGTATACCACCGAGCTGGGGCAGCGCAGGTGATGGGACCTTCCACCCCACACGGGTGTGCCATTCCTGGCACTTAGGAGGTGCTGGGAAGCCGCGGGATCCGGGACCATGCAGACAGGTCAGGGTTCCATTCACCGCTGCCCTGAGCTGTCTGCAAGCCCCATAACCTTTAGGACCTAAGACCTGGTTTCTTTTTCATGTCCAAAACAAACTGTAGGGCCAGCATGAGCCCAGAGAATCTCCTGTTATCAGCCAGCCCCACCAGTCAAGGTGGCCCCTCTTCTTTAGCTCAAGGAGTTCAGCTCTTTCCTCTCCTCCCACCCCCCCACAGGGAAGATCCTGTATACCTACCCCCTGAAATGGACATTCTGATGGTCATTTGGGGGAAGTCTGTACCAGCAGTTACATATCTTGATTCCTGTGGGACTAGAGGGTTGGCGACAGCAGAGCCCCAGCCAGAGAAAGAAAGTTGATGGAATAGTCAGCCTACTATGAATCCAGAATCCCAGGGGACCCCCATTCTGCCCCCTCTACAGGGGGCAGAACTCCACTTGCTAATGGTATATGATCTACTCAGCAAGTGGGAACGGAGAGGGATATTGTGTGTGTGGTAGGGAAATCTCTCCAACAGGTCAGGATCTAATGTTCCTGTGTCCAAGCAGCCCAGCTCCCCAACTCAGCTCCCTCCAGCCTTCATCTTCCAGGTGCTTAGGCCCTGGTGCTGGGCCCATGGGTACAGTAGAGAGCCAAGCAGACAGGCTCCAACCCCCACAGGGTTCAGTCTGATGGGAAGACGGGCCCTAAAGGAGAACTGACAACTGAGTTATGTGGCCTTGGGGATTAGAGGGAGGAAGCTATGGAGGCGCCAAAAAAGGGGGAACCAACCCAGGGCAGGCTTCCTGGAGGAGGAAGAAGATATAGGACACGACTTTAAGAAGGAGAGGGAATTGGTCAGGCTGTGAGTAGTGGGAAGAGTTTGTAGGAGCAATGGGATTGCTGAAGAAACTCACAGGTATTGAGAGAGGCTTGCAGTTGCTGGAACAGAGGTACCATGCGGGGAGCAGGGGATTCTGAGGGGAGGTGTGTTTGAAGGTATGTGAGGGAGGGGACAGACCTGAAAGGGCCTGGTGGGTCATATTAGAGAGTATGGGCTTTATCCTTGGGGCAGGGGGTGACTGTGGATGTCTCACAAGAGTCTGAATAGAAGGATGTTAAAGATTTAGAGTCCTGAGGTCAGAGGGCCTGGGTGTGAATCCTAGCCCTGCCACTTAACAGTTGTGTAATCTTGGGCATATTAGTAATCGATAATAATAAGAGCAGTTAATATTTGTTGTGTGCTAACAGTGAAGTAGTGTGTCTACCCCAACTTCCCTAAACCACATACAATTCTCCTTTCCCAAATACTCCCTAAGAGGGAGGTATCTCATTTCATCCTCCCTGTAGACCTGTGAGAATGTTGTTGTTGTCGTTATTATTCATTTTGCAGATGGGTAACTGAAGCCCAAAATGCTTAAGAACTGTCTTGCTCACTGTCACACAGCCAGTTAACCTCAGCTTTCTCATCTGTGAAGTCAGGCTAGTAGGGCTTACTCCATTGGCTTGTTGCCAGAATTAAATGAGATGATGTTTGTTAAGCACTGTGCCTGGCATATAGAAAGCACTCAATAAAGGACAGTTTTTGGCATTGTCAGGTGACAGGAATTTTAAGAGCAGTGTTGTTACTGAATAAAGAATGGGTCATTGCAAGTTAGAGTGGAGACAGGAAGCCCATTAGGAGACTGCTGTACAGCTCTAGGGGAGAGTTGGTGATGGCCTGGACCCGAATTCTAGCTGTGGGAGTGGAGGTGAGGGGGCAGATTCCAGGGATATTTAGGAGCTAGACCTGGCAGGACTGGGTGACTGTGTGGATGTGGGGGCAACTGACTGAGGCATCCAGGATGACTTCCAGTTTCTGTCTTGAACAACTGGGTACACAGATGGTTGGGTTGTCATAGAAAGGCTAATCTTGGGGAGAGTCAGGTTTCAGGCGGAAAGTGGTGAATTCAGTTTGGGGACCTCAAACTCTGCACACCTCCTTACAGTCCACTGTGCATTGTCATTCACTTCTAGGGAAGCATCAAGCAGGCAGTTGGGCAGACAGGCCTGCTGCTCAGAAGAGTGGTTTGGGCGAGGGAGAGGTAAGGAAGCTGGCAACATTCAGATGGCCTTGAGCTGTGTGAGATGTGCACAGCCCAAGGGTGAGGAGGATGAGTCCATTCCGGAATGAGGAGAGAAACAAGGTCTCTGTGGGAAAATGAGATGTGCAGCCAGAGAGGTGGGGGGAAAACCAGGAGCATGTTGCCTCTTGAAATTCGAGGGAAGGAAGGGCTTAAAGAAGAAAAAGGGAGCCAGAAAGTCAGAAGGTTTACTGAGATCAAGCAGAATGTGGACTAAACACTAGACACTGGATTCAGCAACAGGGAAGTCACTGGTGACATCCACCCGTCAGGGGAGTGTTGAGTGCAGAAGGCAGACCAGGATGGGAAGAGGAGGAGGTGGGTGTGGTGAGGAAATGGAGGTAGACATCTCTTCAAGCAACTTGGCTCTGAAAGGATAAGAGAGAGATGGGGTGAGGAGTGGGGTAGCTGGAGAGAACACATTGGGGGTGTCATTTCTTTTTGTAGTTCTATCTATCTATTTATTAATTATTTATTATTATTATTATTATTATTATTATTTATTTATTTATTTATTTATTTATTTAAAGATGACCGGTAAGGGGATCTTAACCCTTGACCTGGTGTTGTCAGCACCATGCTCAGCTAGTGAGCTAACCGGCCATCCCTGTATAGGATCCGAACCCGTGGCCTTGGTGTTATCAGCACCGCACTCTCCCGAGTGAGCCATGGGCTGGGCCTGTAGTTCTTTATTTAAAGTCAACTTTATGTTGAAATGTAATATACATACAGAAAGTGTATATGTCCTGAGTGTACAGCTTGATAAGCCTTCACAAGGGAACACCCCCATAGAGGATCAGGAAATAGAAGCCAGAGCAGGAAATAGAACATTACCAGCACCCTGGAAGACCTCTTGTACCCCCTTCCAGTCACAACACCCCAAGGGTAATTACTAATCTGACTTCTGTCATCACAGAAGTTTTGCCTGTTTTTGAACTTCATTATCAAGGGAATCATATATAGGTCCTCTCTGTGTCTTGCTTCTTTCACTCAACATCATGTCTGTAAGAGTCATCCATATTGTTGCATGTAGTTGTATATTTTTCATTCTTTTGCTGTATAGTAATTTATTATTCATCTATGGGCATTTGTATAGCTTCCAGGGTTGTTTTCATTTTTTATGTGGGAGTGACTTGAGCTTGTTAGAGACTTGTGGAGAAAGTCTGAAACACCCATCTTCTGTAAGAAAGGAGAGTGATGACTAGGGCCACACGAATATTTAACAGGTGGGAAGTGAGAGCCTGACTGAGGGTGAGAATTGCTGTGTGTAGCCGGGCTGCTGTTCCAAGACCTCTGGCAACTCCTGCCAGCCTGTGTGCAGGTGCAGAGGAGACAGGGAGATGAGTTGCCCAGCGTTGATTTCTGTCATGTAGTGAGAGGCACATAATGCTGAGGATACCAGCAGTGATGTAATGGAATAGTGGCTGTGGATCCAGGCTGGGGAGGAGGGTGTGCAGGGCAGGTAGGGAAGAGAAAGTAGGAGGGAGCTGGCAGAGAGAAAGAAAGCAGAGGCGGACTGTGAGGTCTGTGCAGAGTGGCGTCTGTGAAATTCCAGGCTGTATCTCCAGTGACTGGCACATGCTTGGCACAGGGTTGTCACTCAGTGAATGGTTGAATAAATAGGCTGAAGGCTCAAGGGACCCTCAGGTAAAAGGCAGGTCAGGTGGGAGTGTTGGAGATTGCCTGAAGGTTGTGGTCAATGGGGTTGTGATTTAGGAAAGGGACATTCCAGAGGCAGGTGACAAGGCTTGGGTGTTCCTGTAGGAGATGGCTGAAGGGAGCAAAGAGGACAGTGTTGGGTGGGCAATCCATGGGAATGCGTAGGTCAGCAGTGTAGAGTACATGGTACCTGATCTTCAAGGAAGAAGGGGAGTATAGCATTTCTTAAGCTGGGGTCCTTGGACCTCTTGCATCTGAATCTGTAGGGGAGTCAGTGGGTTTGTGGAAAATATAGACCTCTGGGTCCACCCCAGCCTCACGGGGATAAAGAAAGCACAGTGCAGCAGAATCAAGCCTCAAGGAGCAGGAGCATTTATGGGGGGGGGGGGCTCATCCAGCCACCCTGAGGTCAGGCAATACAATGCCTAGTGGACCCTGGGCATGGTGGCCTCTATCCAGGCTGGAGATGGGGAGGGATATTCAAGGATACTAGGGGCAGAAAAGAGCCAGCACCAAGAAAATTTAGGACCTGAGGGTCCCATGCAACCTGGGGGCCAGAAGGGGAGCTTTAGCCCTAGGATGCAGCTCCAGCCAGGGCAGAGGCCCTGGCTGGGCAATGGGACCTAATCATTTTCCCTGGGGAGTGAGGGGGAGTGCCAAGACCGAGCACCCCCTCCGTGGGCATAGGGGTGGGGGTGGTACATGGGGCTGTGAAACTCTCTGCACCCACTTCCTTCTCTGCATCCCTCTTGGGGCAGCAACACATAATATGGGGTTGACTTAGTCCCATACTTTATGCTCCTCTCTCTTAGCCTCCCAGACCCCTCATGCTCAGTGCCCTACTCTCTGCCCTCCACTCAGCACCCCCAGCCCTCCCTTCCACTCTCTTATCCCCCCACTCTCCACCCTTCGCACAGTTAGAACCCCAACTCTCATCCCTCGGTGTTTTCAGCCATCCCTCAGCACCCCTCAACAATCGCTCTTTGAGCCCCCTACTCTCACTGTCCCCATTACGGCCCCCACTCAGTCCCCTTATTCTATCCGTCCATATCCATTGCTGCGCTCAACTCCCTTTACACACACTCCTGATCCCAGCCTAAAAGACTTCCGTCAGTCCCCTCCCCGAGGGGAACCCCCAGTCACCCCTCCCGGAGGCCAGGCGGGCCGAGGCCGGGTGCCCCCTAGTCCGGCCGGTCCCGCCCATCCCGGCGGGCTGAGTCAGGCGGCAGGAACTGGGCGGGGGGCGGCGCCGGGAGGAGCCGAAGCCTAGCCAGAGCTGCTGGGAGGGAGCGGGGAGCCCAGCTAAGGCTCCAAGGGGCCTCGGGCCGGCAGGGACGCGGGGGGCGAGCGCGGGTCGGGGACCGTCCAGGACTTACCATGAACTCCAAGAAGAAAGGTAGGACCCGACCTGAGGCTGTGAAGGCTCCGGGACTGGCCCCAGGGGATGCAGGCCGGATTCTGAGGGCCAACCGTGCATGTTTCGCCGGAGCGGGGTAGGGGTCTGCCAAGGATCCCCTCCCGCCAAGGGCAGGGGTGAAGGCTTGCGTCAGTGACTCAGTTTCTAGGTCGGAGCCCAGGAAGATGGAGGGGGCGGGGCACTTCTCGGCACTGCGACCCACTCTGGGAATCCCCCGGCTGCTGGGCGCCGGGAGGGCTCTGGCGTCCAGGCGCCTGGGAGCTGGTGGGGGTTGCGAGGAGCACTCTACGTAAGGCGGGCGGGTCGCAGGAGCCAAGCCCGCACCGGCCGGGCCTGTCGGGCAGCTCCGCAGGGCCGACCAATCACAATTATCAAGAAGGAAGTCAGTTGCTACTATACAATAGTGAAATAGGGGCTATATTTAGAACTCAGGTGTTCATTGGGAGCCTCTTAATACTACCTTTCCAGCAGCCCTTGTGAAGAGAAAACTGTGGTAATTCAGTAAAGAAAGACCCACCAAAGACTCGGCTGCCATAGGGAAAAAGTTTACGCCATCCCGCCAGGTAAAGAACCCTATCCAGCCAAGCTTCTAGCAGAGGGTAAGAACCATGGAATGGGTGGTGAAAGAAAGAAGTGACAAACATGAGCTTGACTTTGTGACCAGTTACAGAAATGAAGACTGTGGTAGGCATGCATATTTTTCTTCCTATATGTTATAAATATATATTGTTATATACATTTTATGTGCAAATATGTATCATTATATGTTAACCAATTATTTATTTTCCTCTTTTACGTCTGCTATTATTTTTTTGTGATGAGCGTTAGTTGTTCTTTTGTTTAGATGAGAGCTCACCAAACTGTGAGGAGCCACATACAGTTCTTGAAGGAGAGGACCTCATATCATGTGGGGATCCTGGACATGGTGAAGGATGCTTTATCAGATGGTACTTTGTGTTTCACCCTTTTGGGAAGAAAGTGATTGTCCATTTGTACAAAAGTTAATTGAATTCTGCTGGGTGGAAACACGAAGTCATTTTACAAGTCAGGTATGGGCAGAAAGATGAGAATGGGTGCTTCGTGGCAAAATCGGTGGACTGTAGTAGCCATATGCCTGTTTACTCTTGAATCTATCTTTCATTTTTCCATGCTCTGTTCGATGTAGCAGGGGCCTACGTTACCCAGACACCCATACTTCCTGAGTATTGTATAGCACCAGGNGTGCCCCGCCCCGTGACCTCCCGCGGCCTCCCGGGGTGGGGGCACCCTAGCTCCTGGGCCACTGGGGGGGCGGTGTCAGGGGCAGGGCTGGGGAGGCCGCCCCGCCCCCGTGTAAACAGGCGCTTCCGCACATTCTTCGCGCGCCCCGCCCCTTTCCTGCGCATTCCCAGCCGGAGGAGGGTCCCACGCGACCCCCCTTCCTGCTCCGCGACAGGCGGAGCCCGCACCTCGGCAGGAAGTGGGGGCCGAGCCGAGGCCACGCTGAGTCCGAGGCCGAGTCGTCCGCGGCCGCCCTGTCATTAGCGCCGGGGCCGGCGGGGCTAAGAGTACGGAGCCCGGAGCTCACTGGGGCAGCAGTACCTGGAAACTGGGACGGACCTGCTCCAGCCCTGGGGCCAGGCCATGGGGAGGGAGCTTCAGGGACCCTACTGGTGCTGGACACACACACCCGCCACCCCCAGGGAGCCCCGCGCGGACTCATTCCATGATGTCCCTGTCGGTGCGGCCGCAGCGTCGCCTGCTCAGCGCCCGGGTCAATAGGAGCCAGTCCTTCGCAGGCGTCCTCAGCAGCCACGAGCAGCGGGGGCCCAGGTACGTGGCGGAGGGGGGTTAATGGGGTCAAGAGAGTCGGATGGGGTTGGGACTGGGTGTGTAGTGAGGGTTTGGGGGTCTCCTGCTCGCCTCTTTCTGACGGCAACCTCTTTTTCAGGAGCTTCCCGGTCTTCAGCCCGCCCGGGCCTCCGCGAAAGCTCCCAGCACTCTCCCGAGTGTCCAGGATGTTTTCTGTGGCCCACCCGGCCCCCAAGGTGCCACAACCTGAGCGGTTGGACCTAGTGTACGCTGCGCTTAAGCGAGGCCTGACGTAAGCAACTCCCTCCCCACCCCTTGTCCCAGGATCCTTCCCCAAACCCCCATCTCCTATCCGCTAGTAGGAACCTGCCTCAGCCCCACACCCTGTCTCCCTACTGCCTATACCTTAGGCATCTTGAGGCTGGAGAGGTTAAGTTAATTCTTTTCATCGCCACTTTCCCCAGGGCCTACTTGGAAGCACACCAGCAGGAGCAGGAGAAACTCCAGGGGCAGATAAAGGAGTCCAAGAGAAATTCCCGCCTGGTGAGTGACAGGGAGGTAGGGATGCCCTGGACTAATGCCCTTTACCTTTGTGGCATGGCAGTCTGGGAAAGGACAGCCCTGAGTGACATCAGGGCTATTTTCTGGGGTGACTTGGTTCAGGTGTGAGTAGGAAAGGGGGTATCAGGAAAGGCTGAGGGGCTTTCTGTCCCCAACTTTCTTGTTGTGCACACTTTCCGCTTGGGACCCAGTGCCTACTCACAGGAGCTTCCAGTGGGGTAGGTCAGACCCCCACAGACATGGACAGCAGGAGATCACATTGTAGTGGTACTGAGAAGAGAGCCATGGTTTTTCCTGGGGAAAAGGTCAGAGCTTAGCAGAGGAGGGAACACTAATGCTGGGTCTGGAAGGATGAATGGGAGTTCGCTGGCAGAGGGAACCATGCATGAGGAGGCATAGAGCTCTCTCCCTAGGGGCTGTAGGAAAGGGATCCCAGGGAAGAGGTGGGGAGAGGTTACTGGAGGGATCTAAAGGACCTGATCTTGGTTACCAGCACCCACCAAGAGCCAGGCATGCTGTAACTGGAGTGGTTGTGGACTGACGTGTGGGGAGAACGGCTGTGAGGGAGGGGAACTATGATGGGTCTGAGTGTGCAAGTGTCCCTGCTGTAGTCCTCCTCATATTTCCTAAGGGCCCCCTTCTCATCTCTCTCTGCAGGGCTTCCTGTATGACTTGGACAAGGTGAGTGTTTATAGAACAGTGTTGAAAGGGGTTGGCTCATGGGGAGAGTAAAGGGCCCTGGGCCTCAGGCCATTCCTCATCCACCTCTCCCCCAGCAAGTCAAGTCCATCGAACGCTTCCTGCGACGACTGGAGTTCCACGCCAGCAAGGTACCTGTGCAGCATGCATGCAGATTGGGGTGAGGGATTGGATATCATAGAGAAATGGGGGTGATGTTAGGCCCTGGGGAGTAATCCCAGTGGTGAGTCTCAGTCCCCCCTACTGTCACCCCACTCACTCACCTTCCCAGATTGACGAGCTGTATGAGGCATACTGTGTCCAGCGGCGTCTCCGGGATGGTGCCTACAACATGGTCCGTGCCTACAGCACTGGGTCCCCAGGGAGCCGAGAGGCACGGGACAGCCTGGCCGAGGCCACTAGAGGGCATCGAGAGTACACAGAGGTGAGGGATGGGTGCCCATGAGGCATAGGGACAGGGTATGGCAGGGCAGGTGAGAGGGGACTGATTCTTGACCCCACCTGTCCCTGCCTCTCCCTCCCAGAGCATGTGTCTCCTGGAGAGTGATCTGGAGGCTCAGTTGGGCGAGTTCCATCTTAGAATGAAAGGTACTGAGTTGTGTGGGGAAGGTGGGGAGTGGGAGGGTATGTGCCCAGGACTTCCCAGCATGGCTCATCTACTTCTCCCCCTACTTCCAGGGCTGGCTGGCTTTGCCAGGCTGTGTGTGGGTGATCAGTATGAGGTAAGAGGATGTGCAGGGAAGGGCTGGGATGGCAGGGTCGCAACACCAGGGCTGCCTCATGCCACTTGTTCCCCCAGATTTGCATGAAATACGGGCGTCAGCGCTGGAAACTTCGGGGCCGCATTGAGAGTAGTGGAAAGCAGGTGTGGGACAGTGAAGAAGCCATCTTTCTTCCTCTGCTCACGGAATTCCTGTCCATCAAGGTGGTGTCTCTGCCCAGTACCATAGAACCATGGTGAACCCTTTGTGACCCTCATGATCCTAAGACTCTTACTCCTATGACCCCTCCATGGCTCCATGGCCCTGTGAATGTGTGACCCCAAGACCTTCATGAATCTGTGATTTCCTCATGATTTCTCTGACTTCAAAACAACAATCTTTGTGACTCCTATGACCTCATGGCCTCATGACCCCATTACCTCCTCATGATCTTCTGACCCTGTGAATATTTGACCTCCTGAGTCCCTATAAGGCTGTGACCCCATGACCTCAGTGACCCTACAAACTCTGTCCTCTGTGATCCCCATGCTCCCAGACTGCTTCAAGCCTCCCCATGGCCCTATGTCCTTGTGATCATCTTATAACCTCTATGCAAATTCAGACCTCTGATTGCCTCAATCTCATGGCCCTGCACCATTGTAACCCCAGCATGCATTCTTGGCTACAGGTGACAGAACTGAAGGGCCTGGCCAACCATGTGGTTGTGGGCAGCGTCTCCTGTGAGACCAAGGACCTGTTTGCCGCCCTGCCCCAGGTTGTGGCCGTGGATATCAATGACCTCGGCACCATCAAGCTCAGCCTAGAAGTCACATGGAGGTTGGTGAGGCTGAGGGACTTGGGGGCAGGACCAGAAGGCCTGTGGCACCTGCTAATAGCCTTTTGTCTCCCCAGCCCCTTCGATAAGGATGACCAGCCCTCAGCTGCTTCTACAGTCAACAAGGCCTCCACAGTCACCAAGCGCTTCTCCACCTATAGCCAGAGCCCACCAGATACTCCCTCACTTCGGGAGCAGGCCTTCTATGTGAGTCACACGCTAGGCCCAGGCCTCACCATCATCCAGGGGCTCCCTGGGGGTGGTCCTGAAATGCCTTTTCCTTTCTCTCAGAACATGCTACGGCGGCAGGAGGAGCTGGAGAATGGGACAGCATGGTCCCTGTCATCCGAATCTTCAGATGACTCATCCAGCCCACAGCTCTCAGGCACTGCCCGCCACTCATCAGCACCCAGGCCCCTGATGCAGCAGCCTGAGCTTCTGCCCATTCAAGTTGCCTTCCGTAGGCCTGAGACCCTCAGCTCTCGACCCATGAATGAGGAGGCGGCCATGGCCCCAGCCCTGGCCAATGGGCACGCCCCCTACAGCCGAACTCTGAGCCACATCAGTGAGGCCAGTGTAGATGCTGCCTTGGCTGAGGCTTCAGTGGAAGCTGTGGACCCAGAAAGCCTAACCCAAGGATCTAGCCCACCTACACACACAGATCCCACTCATGGGGAGCACCCTGGTCCTGTTCCTCCTGCCCTAGACTCTGGCCATTCTGTCACAAGCCCCACCCTCAGTACAACAGGCCCCCCCCCAGCATCTGCATACCTAGACTCAGTTTATAAGGCTACAGACTCTGGCCCTTCTGAACTGCCAAGTTCTGCCCACACCACTGCAAGCCCCACATACAGTGCCATAAGCCCTACCGATAGTGCTCCAAGCCTCACTCACACTACTATAGCCTCCACTCACAAACCTATGGTCTCTATCGTCACCACTACATGCCCTACCCCCAATGTCACAGGCCCAGTCCAGGCCACCACAAGTCCCACCCACAAGCCAGTGCCCTCTATCCTCACCACTATAGGCCCTACCCCCAGTGTCACAGGCCCAGTCCAGGCCACCACAAGTCCCACCCACAAGCCAGTGCCCTCTATCCTCACCACTATAGGCCCTACCCCCAGTGTCACAGGCCCAGTCCAGGCCACCACAAGTCCCACCCACAAGCCAGTGCCCTCTATCCTCACCACTATAGGCCCTACCCCCAGTGTCACAGGCCCAGTCCAGGCCACCACAAGTCCCACCCACAAGCCAGTGCCCTCTATCCTCACCACTATAGGCCCTACCCCCAGTGTCACAGGCCCAGTCCAGGCCACCACAAGTCCCACCCACAAGCCAGTGCCCTCTATCCTCACCACTATAGGCCCTACCCCCAGTGTCACAGGCCCAGTCCAGGCCACCACAAGTCCCACCCACAAGCCAGTGCCCTCTATCCTCACCACTACAGGCCCTACCCCCAATGTCACAGGCCCAGTCCAGACTACCACAAGTCCCACCCACAAGCCAGTGCCCTCTATCCTCACCACTATAGGCCCTACCCCCAGTGTCACAGGCCCAGTCCAGGCCACAAGTCCCACCCACAAGCCAGTGCCCTCTATCCTCACCACTACAGGCCCTACCCCCAATGTCACAGGCCCAGTCCAGACTACCACAAGTCCCACCCACAAGCCAGTGCCCTCTATCCTCACCACTACAGGCCCTACCCCCAATGTCACAGGCCCAGTCCAGGCCACAAGTCCCACCCACAAGCCAGAGTCCTCTACCCTCACCACAATGTGCCCAGCCCAGACCACCACAAGCCCCACCCACACCACCCTAAGCCCTGCCCAGACCACAAGCCCCATCCACACCACCGTAAGCCCCACCCACACCACTACAAGCCCCACCCACATCACTCCAAGCTCCGCTCACAAAGCCAAGATGTTGACTAACACCTCTACAGGTCCTATCCCCAATGCTATGGGCTCAGTCCATACCACCAAAAGCCCCACCCACCCTGTCACAAGCTCCACCCTTATAACTGTAAGCCCTTGCACTTCTCTAGACTCTGCTTTGCTTCTCAGCCCTTCTGCACATGCAGACTCCACCTTCCCAAGCACCAACCTCTTGCCCTGTAGCCACCCAGTTTCCACTCCCTGCACTCATGCAGACCCCACAGCCCCCAGCACTCCCTGCCTGAGTCCTGCCTGTTCCAGTTGGAAACCTCTCACAAACCCTGCCCCAGATCCCCCAGAGTCCATCCTTCAGAGCCCTAGCTCCCCTCCCTTACCCCTAACCCCTGGGCCCCAGCATTCAGACCTTAGCCTGGCCATGGCTACCCAGGTCCCAGTCCCAGGGGCAGCTGGAGGGGCTGGGGACAGAAGACTGGAGGAGGCACTGGGGACCCTAATGTCTACGTTGGATGACTATCGTGGCCAGTTCCCTGAGCTTCAGGGCTTGGAGCAGGAGGTGACTCGGCTGGAGAGTCTGCTCATGGTGAGGAGGGCGGGGCTGGGCTAGGCTGGGCCAGGCTGAACCAGCACAGGGAGGGCAGCCTGGCAGTGGCAGCAGCTCTGACTCCCTTCACAACCCCAGCAGAGACAAGGCCAGACTCGCAGCCGGGCCTCCAGTCTTAGCATCACTGTAGAGCATGCCCTGGAGAGCTTCAGCTTCCTCAACGAAGATGAAGATGAAGACAGTGTCTGTCCTGGCAATTGGTGAGGAGCTAAGTGAGACTGGGTAGGGGGGCTAGGTGAGGGGGTAGTGGTGAGGCAGTGCCAGCCAAAGGAGGAAAACAGGTAAGGTGGGGCCAGGTAGAGCATATGAGGATGGACTTGCTAGCAGGTGCATCTATGTTCACCCCTCCCTCATACACCTCATGTGTCCTTGATGCCCACATCCCAACCCTATCTATATCCCCAGTGCTTCTGACTGCCTTTCTTATCTCTGCAATGCCTGCCTCCCCTGCTGGCCCCTGGCAATTTGTGATCCTCCAGCCCCTCTCCTTTCCCTTGCCTCACCTTGGACCTGCCCTGTGAAGTAGCTCTTTCAGTGCCTCCCCTTGCTCCCCGGGTCCCCTAGCATTGGCATCCTCTGTCTCTACTCTGACTCTCCAGGAGGCCCTGGCTCTGCAGCTCTCAGTCCCAAAATCGGCCTTTGCCGATTCCCAGCTGAGAATTGTGCCTGGTCCCTCCTCCCTCTGCTGCTGCCCAGGTTACAACCTATGCCCTGCACCCCTTGCGGTCCACATTTCATAGACCATCGCACCTGCAGTTTTACTCGTGCCCATCCCAGACCCGGTGGTCCTAGCTGGAGATTGCACAGAGAAGACTGACTCCAGAGATCCCTGCTACCACCTGCTGGTCCCAGCGCCTTCCTCTTTCTGGAAGTCCTCCATAGACTTACCCATTGTCTGTTGTCTGTGCGTCATCTGTTCCTCCATTCTGGGATGGGGGAAGCATAATACAAATAAACACTGGTGAACAGATGGTGATGTGTGCTCCTGGGGTGGTTGACCCCATTTTTCTCTCAGGCCCACAAGCAGCTCGGAGGCTGGAGCTGAGGACAGCCTAGACTCACCCGGTGCCTGCCCCCTCAGCACGGGTTGTCCAGCCCTGGACACTGCCTTGGTCCAGCACCTGTACCACTGCAGTCGCCTCCTGCTGGTGAGGCTGGTGGTTATTCCCCGCGCCCCCCCCCCCCCTGTTTCCTTGTAACCTCTTACTCCCAGGAGGCCTGAACTTGAATCCTGGCCCTTTACACCTTCTTGGCGTTCCACACCCCAGTGCCCCTGGGCCCTGGCATCTAGCTCTTGCCAAATAGAATACTTCCCACACTCTATTCCCCTCCAGCCTCTCCCAATGCATGCTGGAACTTGTAGTCCTCCCCAAGCCCTACCCCAAGGTCAGAGCTACTTGGCCACTTCTGTTGTAACCTCTTACTCCCAGGAGGCCTGAACTTGAATCCTGGCCCTTTACACCTTCTTGGCGTTCCACACCCCAGTGCCCCTGGGCCCTGGCATCTAGCTCTTGCCAAATAGAATACTTCCCACACTCTATTCCCCTCCAGCCTCTCCCAATGCATGCTGGAACTTGTAGTCCTCCCCAAGCCCTACCCCAAGGTCAGAGCTACTTGGCCACTTCTGTTCTCCAGAAACTGGGCACATTCGGGCCCTTGCGCTGCCAGGAGGCATGGGCTCTGGAGCGGCTGCTGCGGGAAGCCCGAGTGCTTGAGGCAGTATGTGAGCTCAGCAAGCTATGGGAGGTTCCTGCCACCTCTGCTCATGAAGGTAAAGGTCCTATGGGCTTGGGCTCTGGCTCTGGGATGTGCCCTGAAGCTGCCACCTCATCCCAACCCTATCTATGTGCCTGCATGCCCACCTGCCTGCTGCTGACAATTTCCTGCACCGCCCTCCCGACCCCCCCACCCCCTCACCAGTGGTGCAGTTCTCAGCCTCACGGCCCGGCTTCCTGACCTTCTGGGACCAGTGCACAGAGGGACTCAGCCCCTTCATCTGCCCTGTGGAGCGGGTACTCCTCACCTTTTGCAACCAGTACAGTTCCCGTCTCTCCCTTCGCCAGCCAGGCTTAGCTGAGGCTGGTGAGTGGGCTGCCTACCTGCCCCTTCTGTCATTTCTCAGGTCCCCAGTGTTGGGATCCTCAGGGAAATCCAGGTCAGCCCACACAGACATAGGAGCTGAGCACTGAGTAGACATTACAAAGGCTCCTGCCTTGGAGCAAAAGAACCCAGATGGGAAGGGTTTGGACAGGGGGGGCCCTGGACCTGAGCCTGGGACGGGAGCACCCTCTTCCCCCTAAAAGTCTGGGTTCATCCAAACTCTGAGGCCTGTGGCACTGCCCCCTGCAGTGTGTGTGAAGTTCCTGGAAGATGCCCTGGGACAGAAGCTGCCCAGGAGGCCCCAGCCAGGCCCTGGAGAGCAGCTCACAGTCTTCCAGTTCTGGAGTTATGTTGAAACCTTGGACAGCACCTCCATGGAGGCCTATGTGACTGAGACCGCCGAGGAGGGTGAGGCAGTGGCCCTGATCACAAAGTGGCCTGGCCCTAGGGGTGGGCCTCAGGGTGAGGGTAAGGACATGAGGACATGACCTCCCCACCCTAGAAGGCTCCTTGCCCTGCCACCTTTTCTTACCCCTCTTCTTCCTTCAGTGTTACTGGTGCGGAATCTAAACTCAGATGACCAGGCTGTTGTGCTGAAGGCCCTGAGGTTGGCACCCGAGGGGCGGCTACAAAGGGACGGACTTCAGGCCCTCAGCTCCCTGCTCGTCCATGGCAACAACAAGGTCATGGCTGCTGTCAGCACTCAGCTCCGGAGCCTGTCACTGGGCCCTGCCTTCCGGGAGAGGGTGAGAGTTGGGCAGGGCTCCCTTGAGAGCAAGGACTCAGATCCTGGGCTCTCCGAGTGTGTGGCTAAGACTGCCTTCTCACCCTTACCCAGGCCCTCCTGTGCTTCCTGGACCAGCTCGAGGATGAAGATGTGCAGACTCGAGTGGCTGGCTGCCTGGCCCTGGGCTGCATCAAGGTGACCCCTGCCAGCGCTCCTAACCTTTCTTTCCCCTCCCTGTAGCCCCACCCCTGTGCCCCTCCTATCTGCTCCCCTGGCTCACCTCAATGCTCCCTTCCCTGATAGGCTCCTGAGGGCATTGAGCCCCTGGTGTACCTGTGCCAAACGGACACAGAAGCTGTGAGGGAAGCTGCCCGGCAGAGCCTGCAACAGTGTGGTGAGGCTGGGGGATGGGAATAGATGTCAAGTGTTCTGGGACATCTTGGCTGATGGGAGTAAAGTGAGATGGGGCCAGGGGTGGGAGGGCCAGGACGAGGCTAGGGTTATTCCTGACCACATCCTCACACATTTCAGGGGAAGAAGGACAGTCTGCCCATCGACGGCTGGAAGAGTCACTGGATGCTCTGCCCCGCATCTTTGGGCCCGGCAGCATGGCCAGCACAGCATTCTAAAGTCTCCACCCACTGGCTCCCAGTGCCCCTTCCCACCACTTTCAGGATTGATTAGGCACTGGCAGGGAGGGTAAGGGCTGGCTCCAGACACCCCTCCCCAACAGATTCCTATCAATGAAAATCTAATATATTCTTCTGTTGCCCCTGGAGTTGGTAGAGTCAGTGCCTGCAGTCAAGTGCCTCCCAGCCTCGGCTCAGCACACCCCTTGCCACAAATCAGTGTCTGGGGCCTGGATACCCTGCCTCTGCCCCACCACCCTTGGTTTTCTATTTTATTTACAGTTTTACAGAAAATAAAAATGCAAAATGCCTTTCCTACATGGGCTGGTGCACTCCTGACCCTCTGCTCCAAAATCTTCCTGACACTGGTGTGTCCAATTGACAACAGCATGTGCATTTGCCCTGGAAATCCGGGTGGAAGAAGGTCCAGAAGCTGGAACTGGGCTTGCAGGAGAGAGCAGGGGAAGAGGGTGGCGGGGTGTTGCTGAGAAGTTTCCACCTGCAGGCTGGGCCCTCCCTGAGCCTGGGAACTCCGGGCCCAGGGTGCGGCATCTGTGAAGTCTGCCCAGAGAAAGCCCTCAGGGTGTCAGTCCTGGGACCGGCTGTGGCTAGGAAACAAAGAGGAAGCCATCAGGAAAAGAAGGCATGGTGTGGCTGGAGCTTCTGGCCACCAGGGGGCAGCAGAACTGTGTCAGTGGATGCCTGGCTTCTAGGCCTTCCCCTCAGCCCAGGCAGCTTCCTACAGAGGTGGCTGAAGGAGCCCACTGAGGGTTGGTAGCAAGGGAGAGGAAATGCTTACAGAAGGGAAGAGCTGGGGCCTGGGAGGCAGGAGACCCGGATGCTGCCCTGTGACTTAAGAGAGCAAGTCCTTCCCTCCCCAACCCACCTCCCTCTCTGTAATAACAAACTTGGCTAAACCCTGTGGCCCCTGACAGCCAGCAGACCCATGCTACTTTAGAAAGTAGGGTTCCTAGGAGAGGCCTCATCTCCCCCCAGAGCTGCCTGGCACATATTAACCGCAGAAGGTTGAGAGTCCTACATGAGGAACTTGAGGATGAGTTGGGACTTGAGGATGGCAGCCCTGTTTTCAGGAGGGCCTGAGGGAGACCTATACCCACAGCTAGAAAAACAGACCTCCACCTTTCTCTTCTCCAGAACTTCCATTAACCAGGGTGAAGGGGACAGTGAATGGGTAGTGCCTTCCCCACTCCCTGAATCTGGTGTTCCAGTGCCTGAGGTGGTAGCACAGCAGCGTGACAGCGTGTACGCAGAGGTATCAGGTTGAGGACCGTGTGTGCCCACACTCAGGAAGAGCCAATGAGATGTCAAAAGTCCCCTGGAGTGTGACCCAGATCCCTGGGGAGCCCTGCACCCCAGTGTTCTAGAGCTGTGTATGAAGAGGTTTGGTTGGGGCCTTAACCACTTGCTGGGGAAGCCAAGCTGAGCAGAAAAAACGGCAACAGGAAGGAGCACAGGAAACACCTGTGTGTAGATGCAGGTGGCCCATTCCAGACGGGTGGGGGTGGCAGACGGCCCTCAGCATACTGGCACAGCTCTGTGCTCCCTCTGTAACTATGAAGGATGGCATGGGCAGGACGGTGCAGCTCAGGTTTTTGGGGGGTCGGCTGGGGTGGCATGGGGCAGAGAAGGCAAACAAGTTGTAGACACCAAGCCAGCACTCAGAGCTGGCCACAGCTTGAGCCTGCTCCATGGGCCCCTGCAGGAGGGCTGCAGTCCCAGAACCAACCCTAGGAGCCCCCCAGGCCTGAGGCTCACTGGTAGGGCAGGGCTATCCACTTGTATCAAAAGTGTAGCCTGTGTGGTGGGGAAAGAGGAAGTGAACACTGGCTGACCAGGTCCTGGGAAAGTGCAGAGGGGGTGACTGGGCCAGCACAAGTTCAAAGCTGAACCACAGGAGAGGGTAGGGCATGGGCAAGAAATGGGTGATGGAAAAATGTCATCATCCCAGCCAGGGGTCTACTGGGCTGTCACTGAAAATCCCTGCTCTCCAATGCTGGGAAGGGATAGGACCCCTGACTCTCTGTCCTCTACAAGGAAGGTCCTGAGGCCAAAGCCTGGTATTCAGCTCTAGCCGAGGGCAGGTGTGAGGGTCAGCATGGGCAGGACCTAGAATTAGAGCACTGTGAGCACAGCCAGGTGGAGAACTGTCAAGGCCAGGACAAAAAGGTCATAGACCCTCAGGTCTTTGCCCATCAAGCCTACTTATACATATCAGAGCCATGCTACATATCAGAGCAGCATGGCTCAACCCAGGACAGCCACTTGACCTCTCTCCGTCAGTGACTTGAAGTCAAGCTGGATGGCCTCGTATACCCAGGCCCAGTCCCTCATCTGCGAGATGCTGGAGGGTAGAGAACCCTTGTCCACCCACCTGTAACCCCCCCCTTCACTTCCCAGATGCCTCCCACGGGTCTTCACACAGGGCTAACTTGACCCACCACATTCCCACCACCTCCTGCCCTACTGTCATGAAGATCTGTGGTGGAGAGGGCATTCATTCCTGCTGCCTTGGACTCAGGATAGTTGGGAGCCTACTGGCCCAGGTGATGGGAAGTTGAGAATACCATCAGGAGTCAGAGATACGAGGGAAGGGAAAGCCTGTGCCAGCCTGTGAGGGGACAGATGGAAGTGAGCTCTCTGAGGCCTGTGACACACTGAGAAGTGCTCCATCAATTAAGCCCATCGAAGCCACAGCCATACCTTGGCCATCGTCTTTGGGATCTGCTCAGAGAAAACTGATATGCGCGCATTATAAAAAAGGGGCTAGGCTGAGGTGGTCCAGGATACAATTTATTGTGTTGATGGTTGCTGGAGCCTCCCCAGTCTCCTCCCCTTTCCTCTTGCCCTCTTCCAACCTTACCTTTCCTCCTGTCTCCCACTCTTCTTCCTCATGTATTCAAAGCTGCAGAAAACCAAAAAAAGAAGAAAAAATGGCATGTTTGTGAAGGCAAAGAAGCAGATGGGCTGGCATGTGGGAAGAGGACTGCTTCTTTGTCTCGCCCACAGAGCGGGGGTGCCTTCCTTGTGTGTTTCTGTGCCTGGTGTGTGGGTACAATTTGCTGAACCCCAGGCATATGACATGCTCTCTTTTCCCTCCATCCCCCCAGACAGACCTGGAGTATCCTATTCAGGCCATCCATCCCCCATAGACAGAAGGCTTGGCTGCTGGGCCTGGCTCTTCTGAGCCTAGGTAATACAGAAGGGTGGGCTGGGAAGGACTCCAGTGCCTCATATGTACTGCTAAGGAAGCACAATCTATCATTTAGAAAATAAGACCCTCATTGGCCTGCGAGAAATGGGCCTCTTGTTTCAGAAGATTGCAATCAGGTGATGGCCACTAGTCTATGTTTGATGTCAAGGGTCAAGTCTTACCTGTCTCTGAATATGCCCAAGGCATACAGACATGCAGTAAACACTGACTTAGAATAAGCAGCTGAATTGCTAGAGCTAACACTTATGTTTGTAACTGTCTCCTCTGAATTTCCTTACAGTAACCTTTTCCTCTTCTTCCTCAGGCATCCTCTTAAATGTCACCCTACAGGGTTCCATTCTAGGCCCTTTCCTTCTCTCGAAACACACTCTCTGAACCACCTCATCCATTCCTCTGGCTTCCATCTACATGCTGTGGCTGTATGCCAATGGTTCACATGGCTCTCACCTCACTTCCAGACCCTGACACCTAACTGCTGACTGGACACTTTCTTTTGAACATCTGGGGCATTTCAAACTCAACATGCTCAAAATCAAATTCAATATCTTACCAAGGGTTCAGATCCCTGTACCAGCCAGCCGCAAAAACAAACAAAAAAATTCAACATCTTCTCAAAATCTGTTTCTTCTACAGGGCCCTTGGGGATTACCAGCTACTCAGGTACCCAACCCATACAACTGGGCCTCATCCTTGACTCTTTCCTCTGTCCCCCCATTCCAGCCAGCAGAATCTTCTCAATTAAATGCTCTAAATATTTCTTTTCTTTTTTTTTTTTAAAGATGACCAGTAAGGGGATCTTAACCCTTGACTTGGTGTTGTCAGCACCACATTCTCCCAAGTGAGCTAACCGGCCATCCCTATATAGGGATCCGAACCCGTGGCCTTCGTATTATCAGCACCACACTCTCCCAAGTGAGCCACAGGCTGGCCCTAAATATTTCTAAACTCTGTTTACTTCTGTTTATCTCCATTGGCATGACTCAGGTTCAGGACCTGCTGACCTCTCACCTAGACACTAAAACTGCCTTTCACAGGCTTTCTGCCTCTGATGTTGCCCCTCTTCGGTCCTTTCTCCATGATGTAGTCAGGACGATTTCTAAAACTTAAACCAAAAAACCCAAACTGGCTCGCAAAGCCCTTTGAGCCTGTTCCCTTTTCTGACCTCATTTCTGCCACCTATCTTCTCCCTCTGCACTGGAGCCTCAACTGGACTACTTGCAGGGCTCATTCACCCCTGGGCTTGGTACCACTTGCTCTGTGGTACACTATTGCCACCTTCCCGTTACCTTCACCATGCCTGCTCAACCTGACAGGCTTCAATCTAGACATCACAAATTTCCTTTGAAAGTTGTATCTCCACTTGCTCTGGTTACAGGAACCTGCACTCACTCTAATATAATACTAACCACACCCCACTGCAATGGCTTATTTACTTCGTATCCTCTGGAAAAGGCATCCACAAGTTTCTGCTGACTATTCTACTAGGTGACAGGCACTATCCAGGTCTAGAGAAGACAATGGGTGCGTGCCTTCCCTGTGGAACTTGGTCCAAATATTTTTTAAAATAGTTTTGTTGAGATTTAGTCCATATACCATGCAACCGTTTAAAGTGTACAATTCAATGTACACTTTTAGTATATTTACAGAGTTGTGCAACTGTCACCACAATTTTAAAATATTTTCATCATCCTATAAAGAAACTCTGCACCCCTTAGCTATCATCCCCAGGCCCCTGCATTCCTCCCCACCCCAGCCTTAGGAAACCACTGATCTACTTTATGTCTCTATAGATTTGCCTATTCTGGATATTTCTTATAAATGAAATCAGGTTAAGTCTTTCCAACATACCCAGTTTTAAGATTCACTTGAGAACGTCCTTGGAGATTCAAATTCAGCAGGTATGGCGTGGGCTAGGCAATTCTCTATTTGATCAGGCTATCTGCCTTTACTATCCCCAGCACCCAGGGCAGATACACAGTAAGCAGTTAAGAAATATCTTTTAGGGCCGAGCCCGTGGCGCACTTGGGAGAGTGCGGCACTGGGAGCGCAGCAGCGCTCCCACCGCGGGTTTGGATCCTATATAGGGATGACCAGTGCGCTCACAGCGCTCACTGGCTGAGCGCGGTGCGGCCGGTCTCAAAAAAAAAAATTAAATAAATAAGAAATATCTTTTGCTGAATACCTGTAAACCCGATCCCTGGCTCTGGGCTCCCTATATCCAACTCCTCAACTGATGTCCTGGTCTTATATGAAAAGCAACCTGAGGCTGTCTGGTTAGCTAAGTTGGTTAGAGCGTGGTGTTATAACACCAAGGTCAAGGGTTCGGATCCCCATACCGGCCAGCTGCCAAAAAAACAAAACAAAAAAGCAACATGAAAACATTTTGAGTGTGAAAGTACCATATGTTCAATGCAGAAAGAACCTGGAAACTCAAAACACTCCTCATAGTCTCCCATGGGGCACAGCTCTTTAGAATGCACTTTAACCTCTAGGGTCTGAGTGAAGGAATGGAACAGAAGCCTGAGCAAAGGACAACAGAGGAAGGGCTGAGGGCAGACTGGTGGAGGGGGCAAGCCAGCTGAATCCATAGGGGCCAGAGGCGGCAGTTAGAAATGAGGCTGAAGAGGTTAGCAGAGGCTTGGTCATGGAGGGCCTTTTGGAGTAGCTGAGGAGTTTGGAATTTACCCCCAGGATATTGGGGAACTATCCACGGGCCTGAAACAGGTGAATTTTATGATCACATCTTTGCTTTGGCAAGGTCACTCCAGTAGTTGTGTGGAGGGAAGAAGGAAGCAGTGAGGAGCCCCCAACTGTCATCAGGAGAAGTGACAGTGGCCTGGGCCAGAGTGGGAGCAGTGGGCATGGAGAGAAGGCAAGAGTGAAGAGATGTTCCAAAGGCAGAATGGACAGAATTCGGAGACTGACAGGATGGAGGAGGTGAGAGAATGAAGCCCAGGTTTCTGGCCTGGGTGATGTATAGATGATACCTTTCACTGAAGGGGAAGCCTTAGAGAAAAAAGTTGAGGAGAGTGACAAGGCTGGCATATTAGTTTTCTGTTGCTCACTTATAACTAAATACCTGTAACTGGGAAATTTATAAAGAAATGAAATGTATTTCATATAGTTCTAGAGGCTAGGAAGTTCAAGGTTCAGGGGTAAGGGCCTTCTTCCTGGTGAGGACTCTCTTCAGAGTCCTGTGGCAATGCAGGCTATCACACATCAAGAGGGCAGAGCGTGTTAACATACTCACTTGTTCTCCTATTAAAGCCACCAGTGGGACAGGACTGTGGCTCACTCGGGAGTGTGTGGTGCTGATAACACCAAGGCCATGGGTTCAGATCCCATATAGGGACAGCCAGTTCACTCACTGGCTGAGGGTGGTACTGACAACACCAAGCCAAGGGTTAAGATCCCCTTACCAGTCATCTGGAAAAAAAAAAAAAACCACCAGAGCCATTCCTATGATAACCCATTTATCCATTAACCCATTCATCCATGAATGGATTAATCACTCACGATCCAATCACCTCTCAACTGCCCCACCTTTCAAATACCATAAGTGAGTTTCCCACTCTCTTCATATTGTTACAATGGGGATTAAGTTTCAATACAAGTTTTGAGGCACCATTTTTTTCTTTCATTGTTGTCATTAGTTTGTTTTTTTGGTGGCTGGCCAGTACAGGGATCTGAACCCCTGACCTTGGTGTTATAAAACCACTCTCTACCCAACTCAGCTAACCAGCCAGCCCTGTGGCGATGTTTAAACTATGGTAGCTGGTAAGGGTGGCCTGGGAACCATCCAAGAGGAAGTGTCCAGAAAGAAGCTGGATATGTAGGTCTGCAGCAAGAAGAAAAGTCTATGGGCAGACGCTTGGGAGTCATCCTTGCTTTACTGTGAAGTTTCATATGACTACTGTGATGTCCAGTAACTGTTCTGCTCCTCCCACACCTGTAGCCTATATTTTTACACTTGCCTTCTCATCGTTGACTTTTACCTACTAATGCTCATGAGGCTCAGTCTGGTCTCTTCACACCAATATGAGACAAAATGTAAGGCCATCAAGAGCTAGGAACATCACCTATCTCTGGTGTTCTCTAGCCTTGAAGATAAACCTGGGTCCTGAGGAATTATTAAGGACAGACTCATAGATGAACGTCATCACCTCAAATACCCCTGCTATCTGCCTGCCCAAGTGCCTGAAATTTCCACCACTAATGCTGTTCCTTTGGGTGAAGGCAGTAGTGTTCAAATTATTTTAGGGACAAAAATATTTCTTCCCCCTAAACAAATCACATAAAATTTAGTGGGAGAGGCCCAGAACCCACATGATACACCTCCCTTCCCGTTCCAAGGCAGCCTCAGAGCTAAAGCAACATTTTCAGGGGATTCCTATAAAAACAGAAATGTTAACTGAGAGTGAGGAGCTCTGAGCAGCCAATGAAAGAACAGAAAGGGGGAGGGGCTGGAAGACCTAAGTGCTCATTCTGGTTTTGCCAACAAGTTGCTGGATGACACTGAGCAAGTCACTTCGTTTCTTGAATTTAGAACAAAACTCACCAAATAGAGCTATATCACTTGAAAAGGCAGACATGAAAGTGTTTTATAAAGTGAAAAATGTACAGATGACACGGATTATTAAAGGATGATCAATGCATGCTTGGAAAATGCAGGTAAAATCACAGGGAACAAAATTAACCTACTTCCTAAGAGTGTGACATAGGTCTAGGTAAAGTCCTTTAGACTTTAGAGAGCAGTCACTTGAGCTGAGAGGTAAAAAATAAATACAACTTTAACAGGAGTCTGAAGAAAGCAGACATTAATAAGAGAAAAAATTCCTGTGGTATGGGCAAGTCTTTAAAATGTTAGGAGAAAGTGGTTGGCTTGGCATGATTTTGGTAGACACTGAAAGCTTTCCAATCAGTGTTTACACCCTAGTCCAATGGTGTGAGATGATTTGCTGTCCCCCAAACACTCACGCACTTCTGTGCTCTTGATCATGGCTCTTCACCTTACATACCTTTGCCTCGCTTGTTTACGCCTTGTTAATCCTTTAGACTCAGCTGAAATGAGATACTCCTAGATGCCTAGAGAATGATTTGCTCCTTTATCTGTGAGCTCATTTCTTCCTATTTTAACAACTATTGCATTAATGGGGGAGGGGGGTGGCATGTGTGTGTGTTTTTAACCAGTTTTACTAGTTAAACTCTGAGTTCAAGGGCAGGAAACATCTTGAATCATCTTTGAATCTCCAGTGCCTAGAACAGGGAGCTACACACAGCAGGTACTCGATAAATATTTGCTGAACTGGATCATGTCCCACACATGTCCTCAATAGGTACAGGGGCAATAGGAGTTGTTTAGGTGTAACTTTAGGACCTAGTTCAACATGGGCAGGAAGGCTCTTGCCCACTGTTCCTTTTTTTTAAAGATGACCGGTAAGGGGATCTTAACCCTTGACTTGGTGTTGTCAGCACCACGCTCACCCAGTGAGCTAAGCGGCCATCCCTGTATGGGATCCAAACCTTTGGCCTTGGTGTTATCAGCACCACACTCTCCCGAGTGAGCCATGGGCTGGTCCCTACATCTCTCTTTTAAAAATACAAAAAAGATACAAAAGTAAAAGATAGCAAACCAAATGTAATCTTTCCTGACCCCATATTCTCCTAGTTATAGTTTTCTGCTGCTCTTCTCAATAAAATTTCTCAAATAACTGTCTCCACTTTTTTCCACCCTCTACTTAGTTCACTTAGTTCAACTATTCTAATCTGTCCCTTCGCCCCTGCCCACTGTTACTTAGAAAATCAACACACGTTCCTTTCATTTGTTGATTCTCTTGCTTAAAGGGCTGAAAAAACAAACAAACAAAAAACCCACATCACAATTATTCACAATTATTGGAAGCTTTACATGGGGCAACAATTGAAGCTAAGGAAGACCTTAGAAATAGAATTATTCTCCTAAGAAGCACAGCACAAAGTATGCCTTCTCCCAGAAATTGCTACCAGGCCAGGAAAAACCTAGTCAGTAACCTAACTGATTCTATTAATGAACCTAGAAAGATTATGTTCATTAGAAGGTATAGTTGGGAGGGTAGGTAGTAGGAAGCATAAAAATAAAAGAAATAATAATAGTTAACATTTATTGTATGATTACTGGTATTTAGAACTATACCAAAAGCTTTACTTGCATTTTCTCTTTTTATTCTTACCATTGTGTCAACTACAATTATCACCCCATCTTACAGATGAGAAAACTGTAGTAGTTACTAATTCACCTGAGATCACACAGCAAAGAAATCAAGACAAGACCTGAATTCAGGACAATCTGACTCCAGAATCCAGAGAGTGTGATAATAAACATTTAAGTTATATAACTAACATCTCTTAATCTAATTAACAACTCATCAAAGCTTTCCAGTAATTTGGCTTCCCAGGACACTCTCCTATAGGAAAATAAGATGCCTTTCCCAGCACAAGGACACTGATGCACTTGCCAGTTTGTAAAGGAGCATTCTGCTTATCCATCAAGCTCCTAAGTACCTGAGGAGTCCCTGAGGAAGGAATCTGTTCTCAAGGTACAAACCACTTTGGGTTTCTGGTCCTGCCTGTGGGTCAGAGGGCCAGATTCCGAAATACGGTGACTTTACCAATGTCATCTGATACGCTGAGCAGCCTTCTGCTGATAATACCCTGAACACCCTTGTGGACTACAAACCTCACTTACCTTCTAGAAAAATGAGAGGGCTGCCCCTACCCTGAGCACCCACTGTCCACCTGGCCAGGCCTCCTGGCCACCAAGCTGAACATCTCAACCTGGATGGGCTGTACCAGTCCCTCTGACCTGCCAGCCTTAGGGACAGCTTTTGATGGGTGGGACCATGGCAGGGCTGCCCCTTCCCTGTGGGCATGGGGTCTCCTGCCAGGGTAAGGTAGCCAGGAGCTCTGTTCACAAAACCAAATCTGGGGGGGGGTCACAGGCCAAGACCCTGCAGTGATATCAGGGACCAGCCCTTTGTGGGGCAGGAGATCAGAATTTTTTCTCCTCAGTTTGCCCCAGAGCCCAGCTCCCTGGCACAAGGCAAGTGGGGGCCCCTCGGGCCCACACAGGCTCTAGAGCCCTGGCATCTGAACCGTGTGTCCCTGGAGGCAGGTGCCTGACGGCCATGGACCCGCGCTAGGGGCTGGAGGAGTCACCATGCAGCTGCCCCCCCCCCCCCAGTGACACTATACAATTCCCAAGGCACCTGCCAGGTCCAAGTCAGGACAGGGGCGGCAGGTGGGAAGCCAGGCACCCGCTCAGCTGCCTGTGGTGGGGCTTGTCCTCAGCACCACCCAATGCTGCCCAGTGGGCTAGGTCCAGTAGAGTCCTTGGCTAGCCCTGTCTCAGGGCCTTGGCCCTGCCACGGAGAGGGATCCCTACCTTATCACAGGCACACACAGGGCACAGGCTCTCCCCCTACCTAGAAGTCCAGGGAGCTGAGCCGCCTGCCTGCCCAGCAACCCCCAGCTGTTCATTGAGGCCAGAGCCCTTGTCTGCCCAATGGACATCTGAGCCCAGCTTCCTGGGTCCCCTCTGGCACTCACTGCCCTGCAGTCCTAGGCAGGGGAGGCCAGCCAGCCCACAGCCCTCACATCCCTTAGGAGGTTCTTACACCTAGAGAAACATTCCCGTCTCCTCTGGGCCTTTTACTCTGAGCTGTGAATATTTTTAACCCTGTAAATATGGCCAGCTCTTCTGACACAGAAACTATTTCATCAACTGTCAGTCCCCTCCCTGTATGATACAATTCTTCATGGGTGGTTTCCAGACTCAGGATCTGATGGACCAAATATCTTGTTTTGTTTAAAAAAAAAGGTGATACCACTGTAATCACCTATCTCCCTTGCACAACAACCTATGTATATTTGAGGCCTCTACCACTTCTTGGGAAAATGACCTAAAACTACCCTTCATAGGCGTATGGCCGGTTGGCTCAGTTAGAGCACAAACTTGTAACACAAAGGTCAAGGGTTCAGATCCCTGTACTGGCCAGCTGCTGAAAGAAAAAAAAAAGAGTAAAACTATCCTTTATAAATCAGAGTAGGCCCCCAGTTCCCACAGGTGGGATAGACTGGGTTAGTACTTCAGGGAACAAACCTGTCCTTTGTTTTATCATCCCAATTGTCTCACAGGCTCTCATTATATTACTATTACCTCTCAGCTTGTTTCTTTCCAGAATGAAACATCTTATCCTTTATGGTTTGGCTTTCTGTTCTTTGGTCTTTGGAGCTGATTCCATGAAGACACATCACGATTTCCTTTAAGAAGAAAACATTTCCTTCTGTTTCCTCCCAGTGATCCTCAGCATTTTCTCAGCCCTGTGTCAGAGTTGAACATAGGGTCCTTGTCTTCAGAAAGCCGGCTCCAAGGCTACATGGACCCTATTTCTTGCTTCTAACTGATGCCGCAGGGGTAACAGTCACATAGTTGTAAATACAGTTCATATAAGTGTAGTTGTAAATATAATTTAAAATACAGTTGAGGTATTTTCCCTCTAAATGAGGGTACTTCAAAAAGCTCGTGGAAAAATGGAATTAAAAGATAATACAGCAGGCTGGCTGGTTAGCTCAGTTGGTTAGTGTGTGGAGCTGATAACAATGAGGTTCAGGGTTCAATCCCTGTGCCGTCCAGCTGGAAAAAAAAGATAATACAAATCTTTCCATGAACTTTTGAAGACCCCCTCGTACACTGCCTTATATTTGTCCACATTAAAGCCATAAAAGATGTTTCTTATAGCTTACTATTAAAGACAAGGGCCGGCCTGTGGAAAAAATCCAAATTCCTGATTCATTTGGGAAAAAATACCGAGTAACTGTCAATATTAGTCCAGCATTCTCATAACAGAACGATCAGCCGGATGGAGCAGAAGCTGCTCCCTCGACGCTGGCTCCGTTTGTTATCTGTGATATCTTAGGTAAGGGAGTTGGGAATACACTTCTGAGTCATATTCCCATAGGTACCAAAAGGCTCTCCTCCCAGAGCCACCAGAACACCTCTCAGTCGGTCCTCGGTCAACTTTACAGCGGTTGGGTGGGGTCCGCAGGCGCCTCCCGGGAAGGGGGAGGAGCTAAAGGACTCCGCCCACAGGGAACTTAGCTCTCGGGCAAAACTGGGTAGAACGTGGTGCTACCACCACGAAGGTCAAGGGTTCGGATCCCCTTACCCGCCAGCCGCCAAAATAAATAAATAAGTGAAAATAAAATAAAGTCCTTTCGGCAAAAGACGACTGCTGTGGTTCGTGTAAAAGCATCAAGTCTGGTCTTCCACGGCTTGTCCGGGCTGAGGTGGCCCGGAGACAGCAAAAGGAGGCTCTCGCCCTCTTCTCTCGCTCCCGGTTTTAGGAGGCTCTCTTCTAGGGCGGAGAGAGCACCAAAAGCTGCTAGGCAAGGACAGCCCTTCTTGCCGTTGCTCTCGGACGCTGGACTGTGTCTGAAGATCTGGGAGCACACGGGCACCGACCAGGCCTTGTTCGGTAGCGGGCCGCGGTGCGCCGTTCGGAAGGCGGGTCGGGACGGGCCGAGGCGGAGACTGGGCGGGGCCGGGCCCAGGAGCCGCCTCAGCCCCACTGCCCGGCCCCGCGCGCGCTTCCTCCAACCACCCCCAACTCCTCCAAACCCTTTACGTGTTCCGGGGCCGAAGACAGCGGCTAGGCAACCAGGTCAGGCGGGTCGGGATCCGGGACCGCCCAGAGGCGGCAGCCTCCGCCCAGGAAGCCCCACCCAGCGGGAGCACGGAGGGCGCGGCACCCGCAGAACCCACGCGCGACCGGGCGAGGGCGCGGGAGGGCGCGTGCGGCGTGACGACGCGACTCACGGCGCTTCCCATGACGCCATCGCGCCTGCTTTTGAAAGTTGGCGCCCGGGGCCGCCTCCCATGCTGCCCTGCGCCAACCCCTCCCCTCACCTTTCCTCCCCCGCCCTCCACTCTCCGCCCGGCCGGCCCCCCCACCCGTCCCTTCCCTTATCAGCACCCGCGGCCCCGGCAGCGCCGACGCAGGCGC